ACCATCTTTGGACCACGGGGAAGACCATAAATCCGCTGGACATCGTCCACAGTAAAGGTAAGCTGCCCCCCATCCTGCATAGCTATTGACATTGTCTCCTCATCGAATAGCCTAGTAATCCAACACATCAACGTACTGTCAAACCGTTTTATCTTCAAATCGAGCACACAACTTAGCCCAAGCTTCTTGATAAGCGCCTGTCTCTCAGCTGAAATACCCGCCTCCACAATCTTAATGATTGAAGTCGGACTGCACTTCTTCTCCAAGGTGATTTGATTTGACTGTACAGTCCGTTGCTTCTTCTTCTTGATGTGACTCTTTGTTACCTCATCGCGTGGCCGTTTGTTACTAGGCCCAGCACCAGAATCACTAGAGTCCCTCAAGCTGACTGCTAGCTGCCAAGAAACATAACCAACATGTTGTTGTGTTTTCATAGATGATATAGATGGGATCTTTGTTCTGGCCATTCATGGAACAGAACAAGTAGAATGATATCACTACAATTACTATTAGCAATGTAGAATGTTACTGGTACAATCCATATTAAACTAGCACTGTTAGAACAAGTAGAATGCTACTGTTAGAACAAGTTATACCATACATTAAAATAGCAATGTTAGCAAATCAAAGCGATGGGTACCAGTACCACAGCTACCACTAGCCATGGTACGATTCTTACGAATACTGGTGGATCATAAAAACACCAAACAAACACGACAAACAATAAAGACAGGCCTACATGTGGCTAATTCAAACGTTTCACCCCAAAAACAAAAAACAGTAATGTAAAGAAACCTCACCTCCGATTGTCTTCACGGACGCAGAAAGGAACGACGGCGGAAGTAGGTGGTTCGCCTACGCACTTAAGAAGAAGGAGATAAAATTCTAAGTTAGCAAACCAGATATTTATAGCAAAAGATGAAGTGGGGAGGAGCGGTAGCACCGACGAATCAGTCCGAGAAAGCAAGCATCAACGGAGACCGATCCATGCAAAAGTTGTAGTTGTACCTGAATCAACTATACCCCGAACAACAAAGTCTTAGCGACGAACCACTACCAAGACTGGCCTCCAAAAACGATCAGAGAAAGTGGAAGGGAAATATTTGGGAGAAGACGGATAGAAAGAGTTTCTGTGGGAGGAGACTGAGAGAAAGAGTTTTTTGTGGGCGAGACGAAAGGTTTGGCGGGTAGGGTGTCTGATTTCTCTCCCCAACCAATTTCTTTGCCTTTTCAAAAAACTGCTCATCAGCGAACTAGGGGAGCACAATCCAGTATGGTAGCTCTTTTTTTTGCCATGCCCATCTTCAATCGCTGGAAGGAGGAATAGAAGGATGGACGGCAACGGGGGAAGCGAGATTAGGGGTTGTCACGCTAAACGTCCCCTAAAAAATTCACTCTTAGAAGACTTACACCTTAATCCAGAGATTAGGTAGAACTTCTCCAATAATTCTGCAACTGTACTCATTGCCTCCACTGACGCCTTGGTGAAGATCAACAAGTCATCAGCGAAGTAGAGATGGATAAGCCCAATTCAAAGACACTAAGGATGGTAGGGAAGGACTATTCTAGCTGCAACTTTGTTCAACATACTACCGAGGACTTCCAAACCATTGATAAACAGGTAAGGGGACAATGGACAACCCTGTCTCAGACCCTTTTTAGCTGAAATATTACCTACTCATCCACCATTAAGAACAATAGAAAGATGGACTTGCACAAAGTTGCTCGACAATACTCGGTAACATCTTCCATGTAATTTGCAGGGGTTTATTAATTAAGGAATTGTTGTTGGCTCTCTTATTCTTGTATGCTTCTTTAATCAAATTTGATAGTAAAATGATTTTCTTGTATACTTATGTTGGATTGATTTGATTATGGATTGATGTCTATGTTAAATTATTTTTATATAGTGATAACAAATTAAAAAAAGAATATTCCTCCAATCAATATAAGGAGGTTCTCCTTGAGAACCTACCTTATTCCTTTTTTGCTGTGTTCTGCGCAAAACAATGAAGGGTGCATTGGTCTTTCGCCATGAACTAAATTCAGAGTACGGGTGGGCTTCTCTAGAATTTGTGGGATTAAACAAAGCAAATAAACCAATTGCAATTATATTGAAACACTGCCAGATATCTTTGAATGAACCGGCCGAGAGAAGTCACTTTACTTTGGAGCTTCTCTACTAAGTCTTAACACGTCCAGCCCTTCAAACCTCCTAGCAAAATATTGTAATCAAAATCGTACAAGAAATAGTATTGATAAATTTTAATCATCGTTTAATTGTAATTCAGCCACTTTATACTAATATAACTTCTATATTGATTTAACTTCGATATAAAATTTTTCGATCAGATCATCGGTACAGTACAATTTCACAAACATCTTCCGTCTTAACCCTTTGATTTCTTGAGGCACATGTTTCAATCAATTTGCATAAGATCTTCCCTATCATTGTAATTGCTTTCTCTTATTTTTATAATTATTGCGGGTATATGAACATCAGTTTTGTAATTATTACAATAGGTCAAGAATGGCCAGCTCCCGGTTGAATACTTGGGGGTGCCTTTGATGAAAATTAACTAGAAGAGACTGCCATGTTTTGGTTGATAAAATTACTCATTGTATTCAGAATTGGACAGCCAAACTTTTGAGTTTTGCAGGCAAAGTTCAGTTGATCAACTCTGTTATCTCCAGCATCCTGCAGTATTGGATGAATATATTCCTACTTCCTAAGTTTGTTATGACTGAGGTGGAGAGGATTTGCAATCAATTCTTGTGGGACATCTCTGATACATGTATGAGGTCAAGGCCTTTAGTTTCCTGGGATCTAGTGGCTCGTCCTAAGAAAGAAGGGCGACTTGGAGTCCGTAATTTTGTTATCTGGAATAAGGCCTGTGTTATCAGGCATGCTTGGAACGTTCTCCTATCTATTGGATCCTTAAGGTTTGCGTGGGTGTCTCGTTAGCTAATCAAGCATGTTTCTTTTTGGGATTTAAAGATAGGAGCAACAGGCTCTTGGATATGGAGACGATTGTTGAAGTGCAGAGGCGTCATTTGACAGTATATAACTAAGCAGGTGGGGTTCTTTACTTTGGGATGGGGCTCCAATAGATATTCTGTCAAAAGGGTATGAGAGTCGATTAGGTTGCACAATTTGATGGTTCACTAGTATGAATTGATATGGAGTAAAGAGCTGGTGCCAAAGCATGACTTTATACTCCGGCTTGCGCTGATGAATGTACTACGCACCTAACGCGCTAAAACACAACACCAAACTGCGACCAAGTGTAATCGCAGTCCGGGAATGCAGTAAAGTGGCATGTTCTAATTATCAACCCGGGGTCTAGATCTACTGCCTACTCCGTGAATATCTATTATCTAGCCAACTAAGTCGATTGATTGTGGTTTTAACTAAAAGCAGTAAGAAAGCAGGAAAATATTCGGTTTTCTAAAGCAAAGGAAGAGTCACTCGGGAATGAGTCCCCCTAGCTCCTTAGTTAGGTCATAGTTGTAATTACTTTTAGTTGCTTTACTGCTGATTATACTGCGGAAGATCCGACAGTAGCTTGGAATCTCTTAAGCTGACCAAGCCCTCTCAGTCAAACTACCCGGCAGACGACTAGTCTTCACCAGGATAGAACGCTGAGGCAATGAACACAGAACTCCACTACTGGAATTAGAGTCCGTTACAAAGCAGTGAATCGTGTGGCTTTGTTCTTCGCACTTTCTCTCTCTAAAACTATGTTTTTACTCCAAAAAGTCGACTCCCTCTCCTTTGGCTCGAATTTGGGTTAAAACCCAGAAATTCCTGACCACACGGCCAGGTCACATGGTCGTGTGGCTTTTTAGGCGTGCCCGTGGGAGTGTGCAAAATGCGGCGTTTCGATAAGTGGACATCAGCCATCCTACACGGCCACAACCACACGGCGGTGTGGATTTTCAGGCTGCCCGTGTGAGTTCCCTGGAATTTCCACACGGCCACATGGGTTCCCTTACATGGCCGTGTGGGTTTTAGGCATGCCCTTGTGACTTCCTCAGCTTCTCGCCAAACGTCTGATCTCCGTCCAATCGACCCCAAACTCGTTCCTAAACCTTCATTCACGTACTAGGACCTGAAATATCACAAACAAGAACAACCTAGCGTGAAATCTGCCTAAAACACGAGAGATAAGATTCAAACGTTGTAAGAATGGTGGACAAAAACATGTGTATATATCAAGTCATCAAATTCCCCCACACTTAACCGTTTGCTTGTCCCCAAGCAAACCAAGTCAGACACAAGGTAAGCTAACATATTTCAATCATACCAACATTGGGGACAATTCATATAGGCATAGAACACGTGAATCATATTGGGTTTCAAACATCAACACATAAACAACTTCAAAAGCAACCTGGACAACCACCACAGAGGGCATTCGAGTGTAGCAAAATCGAGTAAAGAAGGACTCTCCTTCTGTTCATCAACCAACATAGAATTGACTCAACCACTTACTCAAGACAGTCACCTCATGCACAAAACTCAAGATATCAGAATTGAGACCGTGTTACACCCCGACGTTTGGGTTCAGGTTCGACCATAATACGTGAACGGTTGGATTAACGGTTACGTACTAAGGATTGCAACCGCGAATTAGGAATAATAATAATAATAATTATTATTATTATTAAAAAAACTGGCCAAGAGGGCGCTCGCCCCTCATTGTATTTTTCCCATCCCCCCCCCCCCCCCCCAAAAAAAAAAACTCGTCCCCATTCACTAAATGAAGAACACTAAACTAGCAAAAGCAAGGGGGCCTCTCAACACAACTCTCCACCGACCCAAAAAGGAATATCCGCCGGCCTGCAATATTAAGATCCTTTACCCTAGCAGGCAGAAGAAAAACCAACATATGAAAGAAAGCATTCCTGCAGAAGAACCGTTAATAAAAAAAGAAGCCATGGAAACGGACGACAGGGCTTTGAACATATACAGAGCCACCAAAACCATCAAACGGAAAGACAATTCCCTCTAAAACGCCCTCCGCTCCATCTACGAGGACTCCATCTTCGTCGGCGAGGTCTCCCAGCTGCGGTCGGAGCTCCCTCCTCGCCAATCTGCGTTGCGGCCTCTGGTACCCCCGCGGCTTCGCCGCCATGTGTTACTTCAAATCCACCGACGGCCACACCAACGATTACTCCTTCTCCACCGCCCCTGTATTGTTATCTGTCGGCCCTTGAGATCGACGGGACGGAGCCGATCATGACTGGGCCTGAGTCACGGGACCAAACGACAAAGCTTTTGGATTTCGTAGCTGTACGTGGTGACGACGACGAGCTGGTTCATGATGTTTCCGGCAGAAGCTTGGAGCTTGATTTATTCCATCAGGTTGACGATTCCTTGAAGGGTTTGTATGTGTACAAGAATAATTTCAGCTTGGTGCCCTGGTCGATTCGAAGGCTCCACAGGCGGAGGACATTTAAGTTGATCGGGATGAACAATTAGGCGAGGAGTAAAAGGGTCGGAGGTGTGTGGGGTAATTGTCATAACTTGGAATGGAAGTTTAGACGATGTATGAAGTAAGGATTTGGTGTTCTTTCTTTCTACGTTTGCATGGATCGGATTTGGCCCGTAAGTAAGAGGCTTCTAAGGATTTCAGGGATTAATTAATGCATGGGATGGATGGAATTATGCGGTGGGGAATCTGATGAAGATATGAGATGGGTGATCATGTATAAAACTTTTGGAAGCATAGGGAGGAGTGGGGCTTGCGTACACACTTCAGGGAGAGTGGACTCTAACACGATCAACCCTTGGATGGTGGTTGGTTCAACTCAATCGACTTGATATTGAGGTGAGTGTAAAGGGGGTAAATTTTACGCCTTACGATTTTCAAGTATTTGCCTTGAGTATTCTCGAGTATTGCTTTACATGAGGTATGTGCAGTATTTGATTCACGTTTTTGATTGCATGATTATGGTTGATGATATGTGCCTTGTTTGAATTATGAGTTGAAGTGAATGGTTATTGCTTACTTTGAAATTCTATGAGTATAAGTTGTTAAAGTGTAAGCAACAAGTTCTTTTTAAGAGGTAACTCACCTTCAAGAAGGTGAAGTCGTTTTAAGTGTTTTTAGTCACTAGCGTCAGTCCGTTGCCATTTGAGATCTTTGAGACAGAGCAACAGTTATGCTCTTGAGATATGTAAGATGAACGGCAGTTATACTCTTGAGAATCGTGGTGAAGAGCCACCACGATAAGTTTAAGATGTTAGGGGGATGAATCGTTACGACTCCCCTAACTAAGTTTAAGTTTAAGGAAAGCCTGGATGGCTTCTCATACGTATGAGTTGGCAACCGGACTAGCTAGTGAGGGATCCCCGTTTCAGTCAAGAATTTAAGTGGAGATTTGAGTTTTAAGAGTACAGTTTCAAGAGTCAAGATTTTTAATAGTGGAGGTACAAAACAACTTCCACTAAGTTAAGTAAAGGAATCAAGTATTAATAAGATGTTAAACGTAAGGGTGTAGACTGACCCCATCTCACTCACCAGTTTGAACAGCTAGAGGAGGAGCTAGAGGAGCATTTAGTGAGCAGCGAATTCGAGGGCAGGCAGCTAGAGCATGGCAGTATAAGCGTCACAGAGGATGCTTAGTCAAGGTTTCAGTAGCAACAACATTAGAGATTATTAGTTATTTACATTTATGATTATGAGTATAGACTGGAGATCAGATTGAGATTTTAAAGTTTGAGTTTAATTTGCCCACGTGTTAGGTCTTTGCTCTGAGCTACAAGTGTGTGTTTTCAGTATTTTATTTATGAAAATTTTTCCCGCTGCAATTTAAGATTTGAGTATTTTATTTATCAAGGGCATTTTTAGTAAAAGTAGTACCCGCCTGGGTTAGGGTGTTTCATTTTGGTATTAGAGCCGGTCTTCCTCTGTTCCTTGGTCTCCAAGGAATACTGGAATATCAGTCTCAGTTTTAAAGGCTTTTGTTTTAAAGGAAAGGAAAACGAGTCAAGGATCTTCTTTTAAGAGTTTATAGAATCTCCAGTCTACTCTAATCGTATTAAGGTAAATAACTAAAGTTCTAATAGAAGAGGTTCCAATCGTAAGGAAATACCTCTAGGATTTTGAAGGAGTTGAACGAGTAGTACGAGGATACGCAGTAGCTATGATAATGGAAGAATGTCTGGGTCATTGGCCCTAAGCAGTAGCGAGGAGGCAATGAGTCAAGAAGCAAAGGGGTACCACGAGAACTCTCTCAACTAGTTCTAGTGGTCGATGCCATTACAACACAATGACAAGGAGCAACGGAAACCTTAGATTTTAAGAAAAGCTAGGGTGGTATAAACGAAGCAAAGGAGGGAATAAGTAAGTAAGAGGGAGTATGCAAGGACGTTAAGAAGCCAATAAGTCAAGGAGGAGAGGAGGCAAGGTCATTTACATATGACGATAAGGAACCCTTATAGACAAACTACCTCACTAGAGAAGAGGGTACATGACCCTGGGGAGTAGGCTGATAGCAAGCCTTTAAAAGGAAAAAGACAAACATCAAGATAATCGAGGTAGGGGACGAGCTTGGATCAAGAATAATAATGTTCTAGTGAACAACGCCGATCTAGAAAGAGAATGGCTTGGGATATGAGAGACCCTACAAACTAACCAGATCACAGAAGGTCAGGATGTTGTTGGGACCATTGAAAGGGGAACGCAAGAGTTCGTGATGATCTTTTGTGTGGTTGTCCTATCCTAAAAGGAGGGAGCACCTAGCCATCTAGGGTACATGAGAGGTGACAGAAGGGGGAACCTCTATAGTAAGTTGGTAATAAGGGGCTAAGAGCTGAAGTCTCGGAACCAGCCGTAAGAGTAAATCATTCAATCAACCGGGTATAGACAAGCAAGTACAACGTTCATTAACAGTTCTAATGAAAGTTGGAGAATTCGAGGAAGAGTCTAAACGGTCGTAAAGAAGAGAGTTTGCGAACTACACCAAGGAAGAGCAAAAAGGTCAGACGGAGTTTGACGAGATTTCAAGAAGTCAATGGGTCCAGTCTTAGGTGACTCGAGGTCAAGAAGCTGCACAAAGAGGTACGATGAGAGAAAGCATTACCAAGAAGGAGGAAAAAGAGAAGTTACCTTATCCAAGGTGCCCCACTCCGAGTGGGCGCGGCATGGTAGGAGGGCTCCAGAGGGGACAACTAATTAAGGATGAAACAGGCACACTTAGTTAAGCCACTAAGAATCCTAACTAAGAGACTAAGTTTATGTACAAGATCGATCAACAAAAGAGACATGGAATGAGTTATGTTAAAGGTTACCAAGGGCAAGCCACCATTGGAAGTTGTGACCTAAAACAACAACGAGAAGATACTCAACAGAAGAGTTGTAGTTTGGTGGTAGTAAAAGTAAAGAAGCAATGAGAACACCATAGGATGATACAAAAAGAAAATGGTGGCCGTCGACCGAACGATATATGCATCAAGGAAGATAGCTAGGACGGGCCAAAGAAGGAGTACAGCAGACAACAAGAAAGCATTAGGTTGATTACCAGCAGAGAATAGTTGATCCATAGGAAGTCCGTCGAGGAATTTCGGCCAATTGTAAGGTTGAATCGTGGTCGTCAAAAATAGTCAAAGGGAGAACCGGATAGGTCAAGGTACACAAGTGAGAAGAGAATATGAGAACCTAGATGACCACATCGAGAACAAGGGTGACTCGCTATGACACAACACCTAACAATGGCCAAGTGTAACCAATGGAAGGGACTGTAGTATAGTGGCTCAAGTGATAAATATCGAATCCACGGGTCTCTAGAGTTACTATTACTCAGCTTCAGTTTATTATTTAGCAAACCAAATTAAGATGAAAGAACTAAAACTACTCTAGCAAACTACAGTTAAAGTTAATCTAATTACAGGTTGGGAACTCACTTAGGTATGATTCCCCCTAGCCACTAGCCAGACTAACGATTGATGATTTCCAACTTGTTTCACTTTCATTCAAAATGCGGAGAATCCTTGACTAGACCTTGAGTCTCGACTAAAGGAACAAGGCCCTCTTGAGTCAATTGCCTAGAGGGACGTATCCTTCTCTAGAACAACTGATCAAGGCGTTCTGAACTAGACTCCCTCTATCGAAAGAGGTTCTCAATCGATACAAAGCAGTGAATCAACCCTCGACTAAAGCAATCGATCCACTACTATCAATCTATGGTGCTCTATTGACCTAATCAGGTATTCCCTCTCATAGGATCAAAGCAGAATCAATAATCTCGACTAAAGCAGAATTGAATCATGAAAACATGCATAGATTGAATATGAACTCAAGATTATCAAGTCAGAGTACTCATACAATCATCCAATCAAACAAACATAGCTAGGGTTCCTCAAAACCTAAGTGAAGGGAAGTTACTCCATAGAGAAGAGAGAGACTGCAGTAAGAATCTTCAGATGATCAGTCTTCAAGTCCGGGCTTGTTCCTCGATCTTCCAAGGCAAAAAAATCCTCCAATTCCACTCTTAGAATGCCCTCAGATCGCCCTCTCTCTCTTTGGTTCGTCCCTTGGGTGTTTGGGATCCAAAACCCAGCTCCCCCTCTCCTTTGGCTTGAATTTGCGTTAAAAAACCTGATTCTGGGCAAAACACGGTCGAGGGCACGACCGTGCTTTGCTTTTGACCGCCCGTGTTTTGCCCCGTGTTAAAAACACGCTCGCGCGCGTCGGCCAAAACACGGTCATGCCTAAATATGGGCACGGCCGTGTTTTGATTTAGGCGCGCCCGTGTTTTTACTGCCGAACCTGTTCCCCTATATTCAATGCTTCGTTTCTCCCTCGTCCGGACTCCGAATCAGTAGCCGTTTGATCCCAGACGCTCGTAGTCTCGTCCTCTTTCTTTTCATGACAAGCTTGCATGATTCTTTGTCCATAAAGTGAGGTATAAATTCATTCTTCTTCAGGTCATGCCCGAGTTTCTTCTCCCTAATCGCCAATTGATCTCTGATTGACTTAAAACTTGCGCCTATGCTTCACTTTATGTGCTAGGACCTGAAATGTGACAAAGGAACACAACCTAGCGTAAAATAGGCCAAAGACGCAATAATTAAAGCTCAAACAATCAAGAAACACAGGGGAAAACATGTGCAAATATCGAGTCATCAAAGGGACATCTAGAACTAGCGAGTAACATCAAGGAGAAGAGTCAAGAGTAGAGAAGTAATAGGGATATGAGTTTAGGGAATCTTATAGGGTACCCCAAAGGGAAGCCGAGATCGCCTATGCGGGTGAAAGGTGTCGATCTCGTGGATAAAAATTTATTGGACGGGGGAAACCGTACAATGAATTTCAGCTAGGGTCCGAGAGTAGCAGAATGGATAGTACAAGAACATAAAATTCAAGCAGCGATAAGTAAGTGCTAAGTTAGGCGCCAGGAGTGAACTAGTAAGCTAGAGAGAATGCCATTATTCTTGAAAGGAATCATAAAGGTGATCGCAAGCTAGAGAAAGATGCAAAGGATGCCTCTAATGCATACAAAAAGTAAAAGCTGTAATAGGAGGTTTCAGAGTTAAGCAAGAAGTAACGAGGAGATGACCACTCAGGTTATGGTTAAAGGATAAGACGAAGCATCAAAGAAGAAAGTAAGAGATACAACGTTAGGAGGTACAACGTCATAGGTCACCTATGAGGTCAACTTCGGACGAGGGTTACGTTAAAGGAATTTTACCATATGATGGGATAGAGGATAAGCCTCCATATGTAACCCTGGGGTTCAAGAGGAGCATTAACGTCTCGATACCAAACAATGGATAGTTATCGTCCCTATATATGTACAAGGTGAAGCCGAGGTAATGTGAGGGGTTAAGAAGCCACAACAACATTGAAGTTGCAGGGAATGGAGAGAAGGATTTTAGGTCACGTCGTATAAGTTAAAGGAAATAAAAATCCGCGAAGTGAAAAGGATTACCACAAGCGATGCTTAGGGTAATCACAGTGGACAAATTTCGAGGGCGAAATTTCTATAAGTGGGGAGGAAATGTAATACTTCGACTCCGATTTAAGGGCCAACAACAAGTGCTGAAGGAGTTGGACCAACAAAGTGAATCAATAATTTTGTTCCATCACCAGATGGGGGAATTAAAAAGGGACAAGTAGCCACTCAAAGCTACTCGATGTTAATGAGCTTGTTGAGAATACCTTTTATGGTCAAGAGGAAATAACTTGAGGTGAGGTAAACTATACAGGACAAGCAACGGACATCAGCAAGGTTCGTATAGCGAGAGTAAATTTTTGAGGCAAGGAAGTACAAGAATGTTGTTGACAGAGGAATGAGATTCAAGCAAATTTCGGGGACAAAATTTTTATAAGGGTGGAGGAAATGTACACCCTGACCTTTCGGTCCAGGTTCGACCATAATTCGTGAACGGTTGGATTAATGGTTACGTACTAAGGATTGCAACCGCGGATTAGGAATAATAATAATAATTATTATTATTATTAAAAAAACTGGCCTAGAGGGCGCTCGGCCCTCATTGTATTTTTCCCATCACCCCCCTCCCACGCAAAAACCCGTCCCCATTCACTAAATGAAGAACCCTAAACTAGCAAAAGCAAGGGGGCCTCTCAACTCACCTCTCCACCGACCCAAAAAGGAAAATCTGCCGCCTGAAACAATAAGATCCTTTACCCTAGCAGGCAGAAGAAAAACCAACATCAGAAAGAAAGCCTTCCTGCAGAATAACCTTTAATAATAAAAAAAGCCATGGACACGGACGACAGGGCTTTGAGCATATACAGAGCCGCCAGAACCATCAAACGGAAAGACAATTCCCTCTACAACGCCCTCCGCTCCATCTACGAGGACTCCATCTTCGTCGGCGAGGTCTCCCAGCTGCGGCCGGAGCTCCCTCTCCTCGCAGATCTCCGCTGCGGCTTCTGGTACTCCCACGGCTTCGTCGCCATGTGTTACTTCAAATCCACCGACGGCCACACCAACGATTGCTCCTTCTCCACCGCCCTTGTCTTGTTATCTGTCGGCCCTTGAGATCGACGGGACGGAGCCAATCATGACTGGGCCTGAGTCACGGGACCAAACGACAAAGCTTTTGGATTTCGTAGCTGTACGTGGTGACGACGACGAGCTGGTTCATGATGTTTCCGGCAGAAGCTTGGAGCTTGATTTATTCCATCAAGTTGACGATTACTTGAAGGGTTTGTATGTGTACAAAAATGATTTCAGCTAGGTGCCCAGGTCGATTCGAAGGCTCCACAGGCTGGGGACGTTTAAGTTGATCGGGATGAACAATAAGGCGAGGAGTAAAAGGGTCGGAGGTGTGTGGAGTAATTGTCATAACTTGGAATGGAAGTTTAGACGATGTTTGAAGTAAGGATTTGGTGTTCTTGCTTTCTACGTTTGCATGGATCGAATTTGGCCCATAAGTAAGAGGCTTCTAAGGATTTCAGGGATTAATTAGTGCATGGGATGGATGGAATTATGCGGTGGGGAATCTGATGAAGATATGAGATGGGTGATCATGTATGAAACTTTTGGAAGCATATGGAGGAGTGGGGCTTGCGTACACACTTCACGGAGAGTGGACTCTAACACGATCAACCCTTGGATGGTGGTTGGTTCAACTCAATCGACTTGATATTGAGGTGAGTGTAAAGGGGGTAAATTCTAAGCCTTACGATTTTTAAGTATTTGCCTTGAGTATTCTTGAGTATTGCTTTACGTGAGGTATGTGCAGTATTTGATTCACGTTTGTGATTGCATGATTATGGTTGATGATATGTGCCTTGTTTGAATTATGAGTTGAAGTGAATGGTTATTACTTACTTTGAAATTCTATGAGTATAAGTTGTTAAAGTGTAAGCAACAAGTTCTTTTTAAGAGGTAACTCACCTTCAAGAAGGTGAAGACGTTTGAAGTGTTTTTAGTCACTAGCGTCAGTCCGTTGCCATTTGAGATCTTTGAGACTGAGCAGCAGTTATGCTCTTGAGATATTTAAGATGAGTGGCAGTTATACTCTTGAGAATCATGGTGAAGAGCCACCACGATAAGTTTAAGATGTTAGGGGGATGAATCCTTACGACTCCCCTAGCTAAGTTTAAGTTTAAGAAAAGCCTGGATGGCTTCTCATACGTATGAGTTGGCAACCAGACTAGCTAGTGAGGGATCCCCGTGTCAGTCAAGAATTTAAGTGGAGATTTGAGTTTTAAGAGTACAGTTTCAAGAGTCAAGATTTTTAATAGTGGAGGTACAAAACAACTTCAACTAAGTTAAGTAAAGGAATCAAGTATTAATAAGATGTTAAACGTAAGGGCGTAGACTGACCCCATCTCACTCACCAGTTTGAAGAGCTAGAGGAGGAGCTAGAGGAGCATTTAGTGAGCAGCGAATTCGAGGGCAGGCAGCTAGAGGAGGGCAGTATAAGCGTCACAGAGGATGCTTTGTCAAGGTTTCAGTAGCAACAACAATAGAGATTATTAGTTATTTACATTTATGATTATGAGTATAGACTGGAGATCAGATTGAGATTTTAATGTTTGAGTTTAATTTGCCCACGTGTTAGGGTTTTGCTCTGAGCTACAAGTGTGTGTTTTCAGTATTTTATTTATGAAAATTTTTCCCGCTGCAATATAAGATTTGAGTATTTTATTTATCAAGGGCATTTTTAGTAAAAGTAGTACCCGGAAGGGTTAGGGTGTTTCAGACCGAGCAATCTAGGTCCTCACCGGGGTAAAGAGTATAGAGAATATGAGAAAATGAATCGCTCACTCTCGACTAGTGGGGTCAGGATAATTTGATGCGAAAAATGCGCATGCTTATTCTCTCAATCCCTAACATCTATTCACCATGACAGCAGCCTCTAAATGTTAGAGTTCACATAAATGGGTGTCATCACTAACTAATCCGGAGGTCTTAGACACAGGTTCAAATGACTGGCAAGGGTCTTGGAAATGGGGAAAAGGCTTTTTAGGTTGTGGAAGTATTCATAGCACAAGGTTCCACAATTCCAATCCCAACCCATTCACCGCCAATCAAACCACTTACTTTCGTTCTGCCATTCTGCATTACTCAAATTCTCTAGAGCACAAGAGCGAAGGAGGTCAGATAAATGTTAGTATTTCCAAGCCAGACTGCTAAGAAACACTACTTAATGGACACTATTCAGATTTTTGGTGGTGGTGGCTCTATTTTGCTTTCATTCATTTTTTTTCTTTTCTCTTTTTTTTTTTCATTTCTTGAGAGAACCACCACCTATGCACATTTTTCAAACACATGCCCAACTTTTTAAGAACTACCTCCAACCCTCACATTATATTTAGCAGAAACAGCAGAGAACATGCAAACACCACTCTGTGGAACCTTCTAAGAGATGCAAAAAGGTTGATTTTTCATTGTAGACCGAAAGAAAGGATAACACACGGCTCAAGGAGCTGACTAGGGGATATGACACATCAGGACAATGAATTTGGTCGTGGGCTAATCCTATGCCTCCATCATCTTAGCTAATGACAACGTGAATGCTACACATCCTGGAAGAGGGAATATCGCACAAGAAAGAAACGAGCAGGCTCCAATCTCACATGGCTACCTATATGCTCTATCTCTCATTCTAATTCCCTCAACTAGATGCATATATGACTGTCAAGGACAAGTAATCAATCGAAGTCACAGTTGGTAAGCAAACAGTTGAAAAATTGAACCCCTACACAATTCTACTGCACGTCAGTCATCATCATAGGTTGTCCTAGTTACAATCAAGCTGTCATGCAATAATCCGAAAAACATTTGATTCACCAATCAAATCACAGTGCCAATATCATCATGCAAACATCGATACTTGGAGCCCTCAAATCTCGATATTTGGACAACGGACTAGGCCCCAAGCACACATATAGAGATTCCAATCGATACAAAGCATCCCCTCACACTTAAGCACGACATTGCCCTCAATGGAGCATAGGGAGAGATAAGGGGAACAATGTTACCGGATTGAAATACGGCAGGGAGACTGGAAGTGGACCAGTCAGCGGGGAACATATGGAACGAACAGAACAGTTCTGCACGAAGGGAACATCAAGAACACACTAGCACACTGTGCGTTAGGGATCAGAGTTAGCCCAAATGGCCACACAATAGACAATCTACAAGAAAAAAAACAAAAAACAAAAACAAAAACAAAAACAAACGACAGACTCAGTTCAAGCTCCGCACACACATGGAGCAACCACGAAAAGTCTTAATCCAAAAACACACTCAAAGTAGCGACGAGTACAGACTACTCATCGCCAAGGTTGTCAAAGTCGATGTCGTCCATGAAGCCGTCATCGGCGGCCGGGGGTGGACGGGGAGAGTCCTCCCAGACTGGCAGCTTGCCCCGTATCAGCTGGAGCAGGTGCTGCTGGACCTCCTGCATACGCCGAGATCGGACCTTCTTGCGCTCGATGTGAGCAAGGGTCACCCCCTGCTGGGTCTCCATACGGTCAAGGCGCTCATCATAGGCAGCCATCTGGGTCTGATACTCGGCTTGGTGGGACGAGTACTGCTGCTGGAACTAGAGATGATGGTTGAGGAGTTGCTGATTCTGGAGGCTCAGCTGCTAGAACTGGTGGTTGAAGTAGTCCTGGGCTGGGAAAGTGGAAATGCTACCCCCGTACTTGAAGGTGGTCGGGCGGGGGGCATCAGCATCATCCACATCCTCGGGGTGGACATCCTCAGCAGCCTCATCCTCAGGAGTATTAGGCTGGTCCTCCGTGGGGATCTGAGGTTCAGGAAACCTCCCGATCCACTTGATGTCGCGCTCGACTCGCAGCAGGTGCATACTCTTGATCGTGTCTTCGCCAAAGACACTAGTGCCCCCTGCTCTGTGCAACCCTGCAGTGGGATTTGGAAGTAGGTGGTCAGACGGGTGATGAGGGGAATGCAGTATAGGCCCCGCATTTCTGAGCACTCTAGTCTTAGGTTCTGGCCACCACAGAACCCAGGTGGAGAGGATGGTCCGCCTGGCGGATGGACTGGATGAAGTACATGGATATCTTGGTGAGGGTGCTGGCACTTTCCGCAGCTGGAGTGTAGGACTTTGCCAGCATGTGGTGGAGAATACGGTTATCGAGATGCAGGGTGTCGGCCTTCGTCTGTCCTGCAACGAAGGGACGCTGGCCGGGCTGAGCTAGGCGGGTGTGCAGCGTCTTGAAGTTAACACCCGCTGGATCGTTGAGCTCGGTGACGTAGTCCACATCATCGTCGAGGCCGAGGTTGAGAGCGAATGCCAAGTTGTGGTAGCTCATGGAGCGGGGCGCACTGCCGAGCCTGAACTTGACAGCTTCACCGTCCGTCCAGTCCTCTGTATCTTCGTGCTTGAAGGTCATCTTCGTGCTTGAAGGTCGTATAGAACTCAAGCACGAGCTCGTGGTAGACCTTCTCTCGAATGGACAGCAGAAGGCGCCAAGGGCGGTTGGTGGCAATGGCGAGGAAGTGCTCGTAGCAATTCAGCTTCTCAAACTCCCTCCTGGACTAGTAATGATGCTTCCCAAACGAGCAGGCCAGGACGCGCTTAAAGCGATCCTGGTGGGGGCCCCTCTTCAAATCCCGGATGAACGGGTACTTGAGGTCGGGTTTCGTCATGGTCCTTCAAAAGAACAACCCAAAGTGGAGCCAAAAGAGCCAAAGAAAAGGTTAATCACACCCCCACACTTGAGAACAGAAAACAACCGAACCATGGTTTCATCCATAGTTCGGGGTCAAAAACTCGATCAAAAAAGCATAATCTGGGTGGGGGGTGCACATCCCCAATGTAATAGGCAACTTAAGGTTCACATCCATAGCAAATACACCATCAAAGCACATCATTAAGGGCCCCAAACGGCTCCCACAAAATGCTATGAAAAACTGGCATTTCATCGAACACCTTGTGTGCACTATTAAGATAAGCATGGAATTGGCAAATTTCTCACACACAAGGGATCAAAAAAGCATGGGGGACATTTCCCAACACAATTCACACATAAACCAAGCCTTCCCCTCAATCAATTGCACACAATTCACACATTGCAAAGTTGTTCTCTAAACATACACCCTAACACCCAATTGTCCACAATTCACAAGGTAAATGGCAAAATCAAACCTGGAGACACAAGTAGAGGTGTAGGGGATGATGAGGGGAAGGAAATGGAAGCGACGAAAATCCCAAAATCTACCCGGAAATGCTCGTCGGAGCCTCACCGGAGTCTCGCCGGAAATCGCCTCCGGTGACTCAAAATCGGTTAAAATCGCCTCAAAATCGAGGGATTGGCCGAAACTGGGGAGGAAAGGTT